CTATCCCCGTACCGCCAGCACCGCCGTCCTATCCCCGTACCGTTGTCCTATCCCCGTACAGCAACCTCCGCCGTCCTATCCCCATACCGCCAGCACCGCTGTCCTATCCCTGTACGGAAAGCTCTGCCGTCCTATCCCCGTACCACCACCTCTGCCGTCCTATCCCCGTACCACCACCTCTGCCGTCCTATCCCCGTACCACCAGCACTGCCGTCCTATCCCCGTACGGAAAGCTCCGCCGTCCTATCCCCGTACCGCCAGCACCGCCGTCCTATCCCCGTACTGTCAGCACTGCCGTCCTATCCCCGTACGGAAAGCACTGCAGTCCTATCCCCGTACAAAAAGCTCCGCCGTCCTATCCCTGTACCACCAGCTCCGCCATCCTATCCCTGTACCACCAGCTCCGCCATCCTATCCCTGTACCACCAGCTCCGCCATCCTATCCCTGTACAGAAAGCTCCGCCGTCCTATCCCCATACAGTAAGCACTGCCGTCCTATCCCCGTACGGAAAGCTCCGCCGTCCTATCCCCATACCGCCAACACTGCCGTCCTATCCCGTACCTTTCTACATGGCGGGATCACGGAGATGCCCAAAAAATAACGCCACTTTCAGCAACATTTTTCAATTAAAGTGATTCTAAAGGCTGAAGGTTTTTAACCGTCATGCATTCTATGCATGAAGGTAACAAACCTGTGTGCAGCTCTCCCCCCAGCCCCCCCTAATACTTACCTGAACCCCATCATGATCCAGTGATGTGCATGAGAGCCTCGGCTCTCTGGGGATTATCCCTCCTCATTGGAACCATTGGCTCTCTCTGCTGTCAATCACAGCAAGTGAGCCAATAAGGAGAGAGAGAGGGGGTGGGACGAGCTGCAAATCTGTGTGTGGACATACAGGGGAGCAAGCTGCTTACTCTGGGGGCCCTTGGAATAAGGGAGGTGTCCACAAATTGGCCATGTAATGTAAGATCTACAGTCCTGGGGCATTGCCCACCCGTAGATGGTGCAACCAAATTTTCACACAAAATCATAGCAAAAAAAAAAAAAAAATCTATGGAGTAACTTGCTGTAAATATGAGCGGCGGTCAGTAGCTAGGTGAGAAGTATACCTTATGGCGTCAACTTCTGTGACAGCACCAGTGGGAGGTGAAACGCGTCAGAGGGCATAGCCATAAGGCGACTGAGGCCATTCCTTAACCCATTCACACCTAAGGGTAAAACAAATCTAAATGCCTAAGCACAATTTTGCAACATTGACATGTTAGTAAAACCGTCCATATCATCACAACTACTTTGTACATCCAGGTGAATTATACCGCGTTTTGTTTCAGGATAAATTGGGCTTTCATTTGGTGGTAAATGGTAATGGATATCTCCTGATTTTTTTTTTTTAATCAAAAAGGAAAACTGGCCCAAAATAGTAAAAAAAAATCATTTTTTTTATTTAGCTGTGTGTTTCTTGTTACGGCCATAACCTACCACCAAAGAACAACTCAAAATAAATTCTCCAGCTCTTGGCGATCGCAGTGACACCATATATGTGTATGTTATGTGTTGTTTGTACCCGTAGTACAGCCCAGAAACAATAGTGTACATTTTTTTTTTACCTAAAAACACACTACCAATTTTTTTTTTTTAAATCCTGACCTTTGACCCTAACCTTGACGTAACACTTACCCTAACACTGAACTAGATCAAACCTTGATCTAGGTATTTTTTGTTTATTTTTTAATATTTTTTTTTTTTTTTACAAAAAATTTTTTCCCCTCTTTGCCAAGAGTTAGAGAGATACAATGCATCCCTCTCCTCCATTCATAGAAAAAAAAAAAAAAAAACAAGGGGGCCAGGCTGCACAGTGACTGATCACTGTGATAGCCAATCAGAGGCTATCATAGCAATCATGTGACCCAGAATTGGGAGTCCCCGGACCCGATCATTAGAACGGGACCCGGTGCTCTCAGTGACACCGCGGTCTTTGCGCTGGGAGCATGCCGTGCGCCGGGCTCCCAGCAGCAAGACAGGTACGCAAATATGCGGCCCCACGGAAAAAAGCCCAGTTCTGTGAGGCCGCATATTTAATATTTATCTTTTTATTTTTTTTTTTTTTTTACAAACATTTTTTTTCTCTCTATGCCAGGAATTAGAAAGATACAATGCATCTCGCTCCTCCATTCAGAGAGAGAAAAAAAAACAAGGGGGCCGAGCTGTACAGTGACCGATCACTGTGATAGCCAATCAGAGGCTATCATAGCGATCATGTGATCCGGAATCAGGAGTCCCGGGTCCCGATCGTTAGAACGGGACCCGGAGTGCTCAGTGACGCTGCGGTCTTTGTGCTGGGAGCATGCCGTGCGGCGGGCTCCCAGCAGCAAGACAGGTACGCAAATATGCGGCCCCACGGAAAAAAGCCCAGTTCTGTGAGGCCGCATATTTAATATTCATCTTTTTTCTATTTTTTTTTACAAACATTTTTTTTTCTCTCTATGCCAGGAATTAGAAAGATACAATGCATCTCGCTCCTCCATTCAGAGAGAGAAAAAAAAAACAAGGGGGCTGAGCTGTACAGTGACTGATCATTGTGATAGCCAATCAGAGGCTATCATAGCGATCATGTGATCCAGAATCAGGAGTCCCGATCGTTAGAACGGGACCCGGGGTGCTCAGTGACACCGCAGTCTCTGTGCTGGGAGCGCGCTCCCAGCAGCAGGACAGGTACTCAAATGTGGCCCTATGGAAAAAAGCCCAGTTCTGTGAGGCCGCCTATTTGTGTGACATCGGCATCAAGGGGGTTAATATTGGGCTCCTGGGGTTGGCTGAGCAGCGTTCATCCCTTCACCTGTGTTCACTAGCTAGGTGAGTGGAGACAATGCTGGATCTACTGACACAGTAACAGGTTCCTATGGTGTTGAACAGACCAACTGATTTTTTAAAAAAGTTTTTTTTTTTTTTTTTTTTTATTAAGAAAATGATTCTAGATGTGACGAAAAGCATGTCCAGCCTACCAAGGAGTTATTTCTTTAACAAATACTGATTCATCTCAGTACATAGTATAGAAGATCGGAGGTAGGTTCACAACTACTCTCATTGCAGCAATGCATGTATTATATACTGTATTACAGTAGAACTTTTTTTTTTCCATTTTGGAGTAAGTGAATTCTTTAAACCCCGTCAGTTTTTTTTTGCCATCTGCATTCTGGGTAGATTTACCTTTACTTCCTATCCCATAGCCAAAGCAGGAAGTGAGAGTAAATTTATCAGGACCTGGATCACCTACTATAGGGACTGTGGTTCCCCGAGCGGAAGGTTGTAGTTCCAGTGTCCACCAGTGGGTGTGTCCCAGCAGGTAGTCTCCACCCAATTCTAGCTGCTGGGAGACACATGCTAGTAAACACTGGAACTACAACCTTCTGCTCTGGGAACCTCAGTGCCACCAGCAGGTGATCCAGGTCCTGGCAAAATCCCTGCAAATGGAAACCCTTGGGGCTCCCCAGAACTAGTGTCCCCACTGGAAGATTTTCCTCTCCATTACTTTTTGGGGATAATCCAAAATTTGGGTTTTTCTTTTAGTTTCAATGATCAACAAGATAAATAGGAGAGGTGAATCTCCCAAATGGGGGGCACAGACTGCAATAAAAACTGACAGGTGTTCTAATCCCTCTCCACTCTATCCAAAAAAAAAAATTTTTAAAAACGTTTTGCCTTTAAGTGACACTAAAAAAAGGCATAAATGTTATTTATTTAAAAACAACAAACATGTTACCCTTCCCTCAGCGCTCCTGGCCTCTCCCTCTGTTGAGTGCCCCCATAGCCAGCCATTTGCTAGGAAGGCACTTGTGCGTGCTCACTCCCAAACCCTGCTCTTTGTGCTCATTGACACACAGAGCGTGGCTCAGCCCTACCCCCAACTCGCTGAGATTGACAGCAGTGGGAGCCAATGTCTTCTGCTGCTGTATCTGAGCCAGTGAGGAGGGAGAGAGCCGGAAGGCCAAATCGTTGGATCGAGATCAGGCTCAAGTATGTATAAAAGGGGGGGGGTGAGCTGCACACCATTTTTTTTTACCTTCATCCATAGAATGAAGATAAAAAACCTTCAGCTTTTCGAACCACTTTTAGCTTTATTTTAAAGCAGCCCATTGATTGTGATTGCCCCCCCCCCAAAAAAAAAAAATCCTGATCAATGTATAATGTATTCTGTCGCACTCTATAGAGGCAGTTGGGTAGCATTCAAAATGAATGGCGCTGCAATGCATCTCAGGGCACTTGGTACCAAACATCAGCACAAGGTGAAGGTGTGAATGAGCCCTTCTAAAGAACCCGACTCGTTAGCGAAGACAAAAGACGTCAAGACAGAGGATTTTCCAAATACGTTTATCTGCCCACGCTGTCAGTTTTGCAGGTTCTCAGAACCCTGTACAATATAAATTATTAAAACCAGACCGTTGCACAGTGCTCTAGACATTGGCTGGGCCATTTGTAAACCCGTTTTGAAGCAACATGCGTTGCCCTATGATGTACCCCTTCCATCCCAGTTGCTCAGATTTGAGTCCCGGTTTTCCTTTATCCTCCCCTAGAAGGGTGCAGAGAAAAGTGAACAAATTACCTAACTATGAAGCAAGTGTGATTTACAACATCACGTTGCAGTAACGAGACACCCTGGTGTCAAATGTTTCATTAAAAGCACCATTTTTTTTTCCATAGAAGTGCATCAGTTAAGTGAAGGTTGATCCTTCATTGTCCTTTTTTTGTTTCAAAAGAAAAACTTAAGAAAAAGAAAAAAAAGGCATGAAATGAGGGAACAAACTGTACTACTGTTCCGTTTTGAAGGTGACTTTGCATGACGATTCGTAATTCAGGTATTTACATGAGGACATCCTTAGAAGTGTTAATGGCACACAGCAGAGGTTACTGAAAGAAGAATGAGAATCCTTGGAAAGATCAGTTTTCGAAAAAGAAGAGGAAGAGATAATTTACTCAGGGTCATGTCCTCCACCCGCTGCGCTCATGTCACTTCAACCATTAAGTTAGACACTGGCTGAGGATCTAGAACGTCATTAGCTGGACCATTATGGGTTTGTTGGTGATGTTCATAACTGGAACAACTGAAAGTTCCTTCTTGCTCATGGATCCTGCGATGGGCTTCAAGGTGGCCAGCAATACGAAAGGCTTTTCCACAGTCTTTGCAAGGAAATTTGTGAATACGGAGGTGGTTATTATAGGCCATCAGGTTAAAGAATTCCTTGAGGCAGTTGGGGCACTTGTAGACACCAGTCCTATGGGTTTTCTTATGGTTAAATAGGCTACTGGCATGGCGGTAGGACCGATCACACTGGTTACACTTGTATTTCCGTTCTTGGGTGGGTGGGAAATCCTGAGTTGGCTCCACCTTGCAAGGGTCTGATGTGTTTTCACAAATGTTCGTTTCTTCATCAGATGGCACTGCTAGAGAGGAAGACCTAAAAGAATTTGATTTTTTGTGTGTCCTTTGATGGTGCCTAAGCATCAGCTTGCTGCTGAATTCACGACTGCAAACTGGGCAACGGAAAGGCCCTACACCTGTGTGACCTCTGATGTGACAGACCAGCTTTTGGGAAGACCGAAATGCCTTTCCGCACTCCACGCACTGAAATTTCTTCTTAACTGCATGAGTGCGCAGATGGTTTTTTATGGCCATAGGGTTGAAAAATTGCTTGTTGCATAAAGAACACTTATAAAGTCCTTTCTTGTGAGTGTTCTTGTGGTTAAGAAGGCTTCCGGCATGCCGATAGGTGCGACCACATACATCACAGCCATATGGGCGCTCTGCATCCTCCTTTGAGAAGGTGTTTTTTCCTAGTTCTTCATTGTCAGAGTCTTGCATTTTAATGAGGCTTTCACTACAAACATGTTTTCTTAACTCATTACTGCTGGAAAATAAAACCCCACAAGCATCGCAAACTGAAATCTTCTTTCGTGGACGGTGCATTGTTACCAAAATAACTGCGCTGTTTCTTTGAATTTCTGGAAATGGGGCTACTGGATTTCCTGGATCTCTTACAAAATCCAGTGGACCTTTCAACCTGACGATCATCTACAGTACTTGCTTTTCGGTCAACGGGTGGTTGGGAGCTAGCTAGGCTGGGACTCTTCTTGCGCATGAACAAACAGGTGCCTGGTTAATTGTCTCTTCCATTTAAAGGTCTTTCCACACTGCAAACAATGATGCCTTTTCGCTTCGTAGTGATTACGTTCATGGTTCTTCAAGGCCATGAGATTAGAGTACGTTTTGTGACAAACAGGACAACAGTACTGACCCATCTTGTGGCTTTTCTTGTGGTTAAACAAACTTCCCGCATGTCTGTATGATCTCCCACATTCTTCGCACTGATAAGGACGGGAATCTGGATCCAGTTCCCTTTTTATTGAAGAATCGGATATCTTCTTGCCAGAGTAATGAGCTTGATCTAAGGAAATGTCTTCACAAAGGGGCGTGAACTTGCGCTGCTGCGTTTGAGCAAATTTCCTACATCTTGTGCTCAGACGATTGCGTCGACCAGACTTCCTTATTGCAGCCCTTTGCCAGTGTAATCTTTGGTGAGTGTCCAATTGTTTACGCAGCCTAAAAGCTTTGCCGCAATCCAGGCACTTGTGTCTTTTTAACTCAAAGTGGATGCGGTTGTGATTCTTCATGGCCATGAGATTGAAGAAGCGCTTCTGACAAATGGAACAGCGGAAAACCCCAGTTTTGTGTGTCTGTTTATGGTTAATTAGGCTTCCTGCGTGTCTGTAGCTCCTGCCGCACACTTCACAACGGAAGGGACGCTGATGAAATCCACACTCATCCTCATTCTGATTAGGACTTGATGGAACTTCATCTTTGGCTTTTATGGTCTCTTCTGAAGGTCTTACTAACTCGATTATGCTACGGTTTTCACGGTTACCAGCAATACGTAGTGATAAGGATTTAACCCCAAATAAAGTTTTGCCGGCGAATTCTTGCGCTTGAAATGGTTTTTCGTCTACATCAGACCCAGATATGCTCTCAGCTTTGAGAGGTGTGCTGGTCACCGGGTAATTAATGTTTTCACCTTGTCTTGAACATCGCTTCCTAGATAGTTTAGCTTGGTTTGCTGGAGTTTGAAAGTTCATTTGTGTATTGGAATGATCTAAGAAGGAAGTATCTATGGATAAAGTGTCTATGCATGGTTTAAAGTCACTCTGGAGAACATCAGAAGCAGGACTGGGTAAAGGAGCACAAGGGGAAACATTCGAATGCCCCCCTTCTCCAGCACTGTATGGAGAGTCATGAAGATCTGAAGCATTAGGGTCAGGTTGACTGTTCACTGCTGCATGCTGCTTACACTCTGGATGGTGCCTCAAGTGGTTAATGTAAGCTGCCAAGTTTGAATACTGTTTAGAACACGCTAAACATTGGAAATTGCCAACTAAATGAGTCTTTTTATGATTTACTAAACTTCCACCGTATCTATAGCTCTTTCCACACTGATCGCAAGTATAAGGTCGGTTCTCTTGGCTTTCCTCGTTTTTTAGCAGTTTCGTCATAATTCTCCTCTTCCTTCACTGCTGGAGTCAGCTGAAGATCATTATCTTGATTATCTGCATCACTGTTAATGCTTTCATTTGCCAAAGGTTTCTCTTCGTGACTCAAGCTATGGGCCTGTAAGCCTCCTAGGTCATCATAGACTTGGCCACCCTCATTCTGGTTAGGACTTGAACAAGCCAGAGATGGAATTTTATCTTCTTCAGCTTTCATGGTCTCTTCCGAGTGACCTACTACCTCTATTTCATTGCTCTTTTCACAATTACCAGCAGCTTGTAGTGATAATGCTTTAACCCCAAACGAAGTTTTGCCAGAGAATTCACAACCTTGAAATAATTTGTCATCTACATCAGACTGACATGTGCTCCCACCTTCAGGTGGTGAACTTGTTACTGGGTTCCTTCTCTTTTCACCTTGTCCTGAACTTCGCTTGCTGCATACTTTAGCTTGGTTTGCTGGAATTTGTAAGTTCATTTGAGTATTGGAATGATCTAAGCAGGAATTATCTATGGATAAAGTGTCTCTGCATGGTTTAAAGTCACTCGGGAGAACATCAGAAGCAGAAGGATTGGGTACGGGAGCACTAGGGGAAAAGTTCAAATTTCCCCCTTCTCTAGTAGTGTATGAAGAGTCATGAAGATCTGAAGTATTAGGATCATGTTGACTGTTTGCTGCTACATGCTGCTTACAGGATGGATGGTGCCGTAAGTGGTTAATGTAAGCTGCCATGTTGGGATACTGTTTAAAACATGCTACACATTGGAAATTGCCAACTAAATGAGTTTTTCTATGGTTTACTAAACTTCCGCCATGTCTATAGCTCTTTCCGCACTGATCACAAGTATAAGGTCGGTTTTCTTGGCTTTCCTCATTCTTAGGCGTTTCATCAGATAGCTCCTCTTCCTTCGTTGGTTTCTGTTTAAGACTGTGATCTGGATTATCTGCATCACTGTTGATGCTTTCATTTGTCAAAGGTTTTTCTTCAGCGCTGTGACTCAAGCTATGTGTCTTTAAGCTCTCGAGATCATCATAGGTCTGGCCACAGTAACCACATATATGGGAAAGATGGGAACCACCATCTGGAGCGTCAGTGTGCTCAGCCTCTTCCAGTTCACTCTTTATTCTTCTTAACAACTCCCTCTCTGAAGAATCCATAGGGAAGGAAAATTCTGGCTCCTTTCCCTCTGGATCAAGGACAGAAAGTGACTCCTCCTTCACTTGCTTTTCATGTGCAACCTGGTGCTGGTGAAAGTCTACTTCATTGGAGAAAATCAAACCACAAGGGCCACAGTCGTAACAATTGTCAAAAGGTTGCTGGTCTTGCACAATTTCATGAGACTCTGTCCCATGGGAATTGTCTTTTACAACATTCCTGAAAGCAAGAGGTTTTGTGTGCGACTGAAAATGTTCCCTTAGTGCTGGAAGGTTGGGATACTCTTTAGGACAAAACGAACACTGATAGATGCCAATTTGATGGGTAAGTTTATGGTTGTTTAAGTCTTCAATACTTGCGTAAACTTCCCCACATTCTATGCATGTATAATCAATATGATTACTATAATCTTCAGCCATGAGCTCTGTGTTTCCATGATTCTCAGCCCCATGGATATCAGAGTTATTAGATTGTTCCCTTTCAGAGTCGCTAACATTTTCTAAAGAGAGTTTTTTCTCATCCTCTGCTGTATTGGATACCTTCTGTTCCCATGGATCTCTTTCTAGAGCCATATGCACCATTTGATGGGCAACAAGATCATCTTCACTATGAAAGACCTCCTCACAATTAACACAACCAAACAAGTTCTTAGCACCTGGATGGGAGTAACAGAGATCAGGATAGAGAAACCTAGAACTGTCATGCATTTCCCCAGGCTGGTTCTTTTTAACTTTGTGGTGAATTCTTATGTGATTTTTTAAGGCAGCCATGTTGTGCACATGTCTGGAACAATAAGGGCACACGTAGTCACCAGTTTGGTGGGTTCGTTTGTGGTTGATTAGGCTCCCTGAATGCCGGTAGGACTTGTTGCAAAGGTCACATTCATATACCCGCCTACCTTGATGTTCTGAAGCTTCAAGAACCTTTACTGGGGATTCCTGTTTCTCTATGGTATTATAAGCATTCAGAGGATCAGTCAACAGTTCTTCCTCTTTTTTAAGGTCTATAGGTTGTTCTGTAGAGCAAGAAAACCGGTGTTGAGCTTTGACACATCTGGCTGTGACACTGAAAAACTCTCCATACAGTCAAATGATTCTCCACAGGAGCAGGAGATTTGTGCCAAAGGTTCTTCAACAGCTGTATCACTACCATCTGTTTGGGGAGACACATTCTCATTTAATTTGACTGATTCTGCAAGAGAGGGAATAGTCTTATTTTGCAAAAATCTGGGTCTACCACGAAGATATTGATGGCCCCGTCTGGATAAGATTCCCCTACGGCCTGCATATGAACGACTATGAAAGCGGAGGTGGTTTCTAAGGGCCATCAGATTAGAGTATTGCTTTGGACAGAGAGAACACTGATAAATTCCTGTCTTATGTGTGAGCCTATGGTTTATTAGGCTGCTTTTGTGACGGTATGTCCTTCCACAAGGTTCACACTTATAGGGTCTATCTTCTGGCGATTTATCACGCTCTTCTAATTGAGAAGATTCTTCTTTAAAGACTGTCTGATCTACTGTAAGCTGTTCAAAGTCACTGGATGTATCTTGGATTTTAGCACCATTGTTTTGTGGTGTTCCTTCATGCGGGGTAGTTGAGGTCTCCTCATGTGTCCACTGATGCAGGGTTTCCTGTTGAGCAAGATCTTCCATCTCTGGCTTCACAGGGTTTGGTAAACTATGGCTGGAGGTGTCACTGTTACTTTGGGATAATTGAGGATTTTCAGGCCAGTAAGTGCCTGATCCAAGAGCCTCCTCCATGTTTTGTGTATCGCTATAGGTTTCTTTTATTGCTTCCTCTTGATGGATGACTTGATGTTGCAAAAAATCACTCTCATTGGGTAAATATTCACCACAGATTCTACACTGGAAAGGGTCTTCTAGATTCTGGGAGAGATCAGACAAGGTAGCTGAATAAACGTAATAATTATCTTCCAACTTCCTCCCCGCTCTAGACTTAAAGTGCGCTCGAAAATGGTTATTTAAGGCAGCAACGTTGAACATCTGCTTAGAGCACAGGGGACAACTATATACCCCTGTTTGGTGAGTTTTTTTGTGATTTATGAGACTTCCAGCATGTCTGTAAGTCTTTCCGCACTCTTGGCACATAAAGGGTCTATTTTCCGAATCTTCAGGCTTACCCTCTTCTTCAAGGATTTCATCATATTGTTGCTGCTCAGACTGTTGACAAGTTTCCTCCTCTGATGTGAAGGTTGAATTATGATCCACTGTATTCTCTTCCACTATCATACTGTCATTGCTTGCATTCTGTAGAACCTGTTCTGAACAGACAGAATCAAGATGAAGATCATCTTGGAGTTTTTGAGTTGGTGAAGGTAACATTTCTGTGTCTTCCTCATAATTACCGCTCTCAGAAACCTGTGATATGGCAGGCAGATCCTCCTGTTTGTGTACAGTATCACTTGGGTGTAATAGATCGCTTTGTAGTGTATCTGCATTTCCTAACAGAGGACCACCAATCTTTGCAGAATATCGGGGGGATTTGCACCTTTGTCGAGCTCTGGAGTCCGAATGAAGGCGGCAATGGTTTTTCATGGCCATGAGGTTGGAGAACTCCTTAAAGCAGATTGCACACTGGTACAAACCCACCATATGGCTCTGCCTGTGGTTTGCAAGACTGCCTGGATGTTTATATGCTTTTCCACACTGATTACATTTGTAACGATATTCCTCTGTGTTGTCATTTGGCGCTTGTTCTTCTCTAGTCTCCTCCATGGACCCCTGTTGAGTTACAGTGTCTTCTTTTGCAGGTTCCTCTGTCAAATTTCCATCTTGATGATACTTTGGAACAAGTTGAGAAAAGTCTCCTGGCACCATGGATTCAGCAATATAGTTTTCTAAATTACTAATTAAATTGCTACTATCCACTAGGATAGGAGCTTGCATGTCAACTATGTGGTTTCTTGATAAACTTTCTGCACTAGAGACGGAGGAGAAACCATGTGAAGACCTTCGATGGTTGTAAAGCTGCTGTGACATACGGAACGCCTCTCCACAGTGATCACACTTGAAACGCTTCTCCTCAGAGTGTGTGCGCAAGTGACTTTTCAAGCCCATAGGGTTAGAAAACTCCTTCTGGCAGATGAGACATGTGTAGAGGCCAATCTGGTGAGTTTTTTTATGGTTTACTAAGCTTCCAGCATGCCGATAACTCTTGTTACATTGATTGCATTTATACGGTCTCTCTTCTTTATGGCTTTCTGTTGTGGTGTTCAGCTCCGCTGAACTAGAGAACAAGTTGGAGCACTGGTCAGTGTCCAAAGCCATTTCCGTTTGGTTGGCCCCGAAATCTTCTTCCTCCATGCTTGATCTGGAAAAGGCTGGGCTTTTCAAAACATCAAATCTCTACCCATCACCAGAAAATGTGGGCATGGGGTTGAACCGGCTTGACTTCCAGCCTGTGTGGCATCTTA